TTGTTTTCTTGTTCTTTCGCTGCGCATATGATGTCGCCCCCAATGATTTCCCAACAAATACTCTCCATAGTAAAGACTTTGCTATCTAAACACTTCTCCATGAAGGACTTAGGGGAAGCATCCTATATTTTTGGGATTCAAGTCTATAGAGATAGATTTAAGAGGATGCTTAGTTTATCCTAGTCCAGGTATATAGACACCATTGTCAAAAGATTTGACATGAAAAGTTTCAAGAGAGATCTCATATTAATGAGACATGAAATTTCACTTTCTCATAGTATGTTCCCAAAAACTCTTGAAAAAAAGACAAACATGGATAGGATACCTTATGCCTCTGTGATAGAGTCTATCATATATGTTATACTATGTATCAGGCTTGATATAGTGCATGCTCTAAGTGTCACGAGCAGGTATCAAGCAGATCTAGGCTTTGAGCACTAGAAAGCAGTAAAGTGTATCCTTAAGTACTTGAGAAGGACTAAGGATCTTTTACTAGTATACGAAGAAAATAGTTTTTAGGTTGAGGGCTATACGGACTCGAGCTTCCAGTCCAATGTCGATGATAGCAAGTTGAATTCAGGGTATATGTTCACCCTGAATGGACAGTAGTGAGTTGGAAGAGTTCCAAACAAGATACTACTGCTAACTCGACCACAGAGGTAGAATACATTGTTGCAACGGAAGCAGCACAAGAGGGAGTCTGGATGAAGAAGTTCATCACGGATCTAGGAGTTATAATGAGTAATATAGAATCAATTCTCATATATTGCGACAACAACAGGGCGATCACTCAAGCAAAAGAACCTAGGTCTCATCAGAAGTATAAGCACGTTCTAAGGAGGTTCTACATAATCAAAGATATCGTGACCCGAGGAGATGTAGCATTGGAAAGAGTTTCATCCAAAGATAACATTGTAGATCTACTGACAAGCCATTGACTTAAATTGTATTTGAGCATCACAGAGGTCTGATGGGGATCAGATATGTAGGTGATTGGGTTTAGGTCAAATGGGACATTATTCGCTATAGGTGCCTTCCAAGTCAATTACATGAGTGATGGCACTTGTGACATGCTACGACGATCTCTTTGCTTATTATTATTGGTATTTTATCACATATTATTTGGATATATATTGTAATGTCTTGGATCTATATAACGAGAATCGGATCGTGATGAGATCACGATAATAAGACTGATTCACCTTTAAATACATATCCTAAATCATCTCGGTCATAGGTTACTCGAGAAGGACATCAAGATAATTTGATAGACCAATACGCTATATACTTATCCATATAATATATGTTGTTGGTCTCATAGTCGCTCGTGTGGGGACACTAGAGGTATAGTGTAGGTGCTCATTGGATCTGGACATAGAGATGAGTATGCGAGTTCTCCTTCATCCACTCCATCGGATATGAAAATTTCGAGGATATATGATCTCCCTAAGCAACACTTCTAACATGATACATGCGATTTTTCAGTTTTGCGATCTTCTCGCTCACCAATCGTCGCACAATGACCAAGTACTTAACTTTGGAAAATATGGTTTTGTTTTTGTTTTTCACTGCGCATGAGATGTCGACCTGTGATTTCCCAACAGTAAGATCACCGACGATTAGGAGACGACCCCGTTATCAGGATGCAACTACGCAACCACAAGACAAACCAACTCTCGGGGACACTCGGATGACTCGACCTTGAGAGAGAACCTTGTAGCTAAGAAGATCCCAAACAACCTACCCGATCACCCCGAACCGGGTCCGCACTAATAAGGTTGCTTTTGATCAGACCGCCAATGTGGTTTCACCTCACCAAATCTCTCATGTCAACTAGGAAACTAGGAAGAGACATTTGGATGAGCTTATATATTCGACGATGGACAAATTGTGTCAACTCATAGATCAATGGTACTTATGACACCATCAATAATTATATTTTATTATTATATATTAATATTATCTATAATGTTAATTAAAATATGATAGTTGATCGATGGAGATCAAACATACATACTAAATTTAAATTTAAATTTAGAAAAAATAAATTAAAATTCATTTATTTTTAAGAGTATATATCAAATTTTCATTTATATACATAGAAAGAGATCCGGGACCAACAATTCGGTGCACCATCAGTACCTAAGGGCGGGGCCCCCTCTTAAACCCTAAATAGTTCTGCAGCACATGCCTTTTAGGTGGTCACAGTGCACTGATGAGTCATAGCCTAGTCATCGCGAACAGGGCATGTTGCGACGCACAAGAAAGCATCGTCAGGTGCGTTTACCAGTGCGCGCATATGTACGAAGGCTTTTCGCTCGCTCAGAACGACCGGTGTCCTTCTCCCGCAAATCTCACCACGTCCACCACACTTTCGCACGAATTAACCGTACTCTTAGGGATCGCCTGTCCGATGTCATCTTCGTTCACGTGCTTTCACGAACGAAAGAAAGACACGTGGAGTAAATGGCCATACCTCAACTATAACAGCCGCCCCTTGACTTCAGTCCAGCGATCATCTGTACCCTGCCAATATCGTTCATGTATGTCGACGAACAAACGGAAGACACGTGGAGGAAGAGGGCCTTTTCATCATTATATAATAGATGGATTTGGCGATCTCTGTTGCTCCTTCTTTAGTGCCTCTCTCCCGCGATTTCCCGGAGTCGGCTCACTTCGCAAGAGCTCGGATCGAGGGGTTCTCCTTCGCAGAAGAGGAAGGGATTCATGGAGGACGACACCCGGAGCCGCGTGTCCGACGCCTCCAAGCACCAACAGCTCGCTCTGCAGTCCCGATACGGTGGGGAATTTGGTCCCTTTTCCTGCTTTTATTTTGGGCTTGGGATGTACGTTTACTTGAGGTTGTGATTGTGATTTCTATGGTCGGTAGATGTGTACCTTGGGTCGGAGGACATGGATGGCGGGGAGGACGACTCACGGCCAGAGTTCACCTGCCCGTTCTGTTCCGAGGGCTTCGATATCGTGGGACTGTGTTGCCACATCGATGACGAACACCCGATCGAGGCTAGGAACGGGGTATCACTGCGTTCTTCGGGTCCTTTGTAGATGCTGAAAATTGTGCTTCAATTGGAGTTTCCCGAGGAGAATTTCTAGATCTCGGTTTGGTTTCTGGATGGGTTTTTCGTAGTGCCAAAATTGCTCTCTATCTCTCTCCAATCTCTTGCTTTAAGAACTGGCTCCGACTTTGTTCTTAAAATTCTGTTATCGTTTGATATTACGCGAAGAATTTACCTTAAGTAGGAGAGAAAAGAAAAATGCGTCCTCTTATTGAATTTTTTGCGTCTGTTAGGGGTAGAAAAGGTTTGATCTTTTCCACTAAAGAATCATTTTTTCCTCCGTGAATCTCACTTCAAGTGTAGGTTTCCTTTATTTGCATTGATTGTATTTTTGTAGGTGGCTTTGGAGTATATCTCACGGTCTATTAGTATTTGCTAAAAGTTTGTAAAACTTGAATTTAATATCCTTCCAACAGTCGATTTAATTTGGACATAGGAGCTTTAAATGTATGGTCTGTTGTCTTTTAATAGCATAAAATTGAGTACATGTCAGCTAATGCCTTTAACTGGTCATGATTTTCCCGTCATTGATTGATTTTTCAAGTCAGATGAGGTAGGTTGTGCGAAAATCTGAAATGTATTTCGCATGTTGGGTTCTCTGTATTAGATATCTAAACATTATCTATATACTCTTTTATGTTTTTATTCAGTGAATTCCAGCAACTGAAATTAATTGGATGTTTACCATTGTATATTAACCTTTGCAAAATTGAAACTATAACAGAAAAGAAAAACTGTGAAACCCTGATTTCCTTGTTCAGCCCTTCATCAGATTGTCCTACAAGTCAGCAAAATTGTTGCTTTATTTTTTTTGCCCATCCTCTTTAATACTTGCATCTAGAAATGATGTACCACTTGTTTATCTTACAAGTTGAAATGCAACAAATCTGCTGGTGCCTTTTGACTTTCCACTTGACGACCACACTATTATGACAAATATGTTCCAACTGAGTACTTCTCAGTAACTACTTTATTTTGTACCTCTTTCCTTTCTATTCTTGCTTATCATGAGCAAGATTATTATTATTGTAGAACCAGCAATGGCAATCAGAGCGAAGCAAAATTACTACATCTGTATGTTGCATTTTGTCCTGCACGAGACAGTTTGTTGCTTATGTATTGAATCGCCTGTTTTCAGGTGTGTCCTCTTTGTGCAGCTAGGGCTGGCATGGACATGGTTGGCCACATAATGACAGAGCATGCAAATTTATTAATAATATCCTTCTATTTTCATTAGTTATCTGGATTTGACTGTTTGTCTCCTTATATGCTATACTTCATTCTATTTAAAGCTAATTTTAGTAGTAGAAGTTTCCTGTCAAGCAATCATTACTCTGTGTACTTGTTTGCAAATGACGATGTTGTAAATCTGACTAAATTGGTTGGATTCCTTGATAAAAACTTAAGTACGGCAAAGGAGGAGGTTTTGCAAAGGTTCCTTGGGGCATTACTCCACACTCTTATTGTTGAAAAAGGATCTACGTGATGGCACTCTTCAGTCACTTGGGGGTTCTTTTGCTCCATCCAACGTGGCACCTGATCCACTACTGTCATCATTTATTTTTAATTTGCCTGACATCGATCCATCAAAAGATGCACGACCTGAATCCTTGGATGAAGGAAGTATGGTTGACAAAACTTCAGATGAGAAATTGGTTCAGAGGTATCGTACATTTCATTGTCATCAAATGAGTTATTGTTTGAGGTTTTCGACGTAACCCATTTATTTTGTCACATTGTATGAGGTTTTTAGATAGGTTTTTTTTTTCTGACTTGCTGCCTCACACTTGATATTTTCATTTACATGATTCTGTAAGATGATTAAGTAATCTGTTAGATTTACTTCCTATTGTGCTTCAAAATTCAGTTGTTTGTAGAAGCAAATGGACTATATTGTTATAGTCTTGAAGAAATGTTAAGTAGTATGGTGTTTGTATATTATCATTTTTTATTTAGCTTAATTTACTAAATTGTATAATATTGGGTACCATGATATGTGTAGAATAATTTATTTTGCCTTAGCTTAGTTTATTAAATTGTGTGATAAAGTTATTGGGTACTGTGATTTCTGCAGAATCACTTTTTCTTTTGGCTACTTGACATATGGTGCAGTTTATGCTGAAAAGTACTAAAGTGCTCTCTTATTTTATATTTAGTTCATAATTTTCATAAATTTCATTGCTTTATTGAGAATGGCTATACTCCTTTTACAGCTAGACTCAAGTAGAGCTATTTTTTGTTGGAATATTGGGTGGGCAAAAGGTGGTGAAAGAGGGAGAGGCATGAAATTCTTCTATCGCAGGGATTCTATGAGACAATGTCATGAGTTACCATATTAGTTTTTGTTCTTAAAAGTAGTTGTTTACACTAATTAACTCTTATATACATGCTCTTCATATTCTCACCGAATGTAACCATGTGGAAGAATTATACTTCAAGATATGAATATAAAGAATTAAGGCATATTTTAATACTTTCTTTATACGTGTAACTTGATTGATATAATAAGCTCAAATGCACTCTTTATTCATTCACTGAGTGATAAATTACTAAATACGAAGGAGATACACTTACGATACAAGAAAAAGGAAGATCCAATATTTCACAATTGTATCTAGAATAACTGGAAAAGTGGAAACAAGACCAGATATAATTTGATTGTTATGATCTAGTCTACGATAGTTGTTGTCACATCCTAGATTTATAAAAAAAAACCATCATTTCGTTATTCATAATTTACATAAGATTTTTTTTATCTTTAAATTTAAATCGTTGTCTTTATAGCACTAAATATTTTTTTAATTGATAAAAAGAATCACATCTTCTTAGTAGGACCATAAGTGATGAGAAAGTCTCCTCCACCCACGCCTCGAATCTATTACAAAGTAGTAGGTTACTCTGAAAATAAATATAGGATAAAAAAATATCAGTAACCACACATGTTAGTAGGAACATTCGAAAAATTAAAAATAATCTTTAATATTCGTGAAATATATGTAAATGTCAACAATTTAATATGAAATGATAATATATCAATTTATTATGAAACTCATGTATTGGAAAAACAATTATAATTCTTATTGTTGAATCTCGGATTTTGATTATAAAACCAATTGATAAGTGTTTATGATTTAATTTGCGTTTTGAGTGACGCAGGATGTTTCGATCAGGGAGAGACAATTAAAGCAGGAAGAATCATGTTGGGCCGAAGAAAAACATGTCAGAAGATTGGACGTCGGGCCGGAGGATCGGTCGACGTATCGACAGAATGCTTCGGGCCATAGATTCGGGCATCGAGCCAAGAAGAGCGGATATTGCGCCAAGGATATCGGAGTTGCGGAGGTCAACTGGCCGATTGGGCAATAGGCCGCAAGGGAGAACAATGCGCCGAAGAATCGGACAAAGCGTCGATGGACCAATGACATGTCGGACAACATGATTCATGCTTAGTAATAATTGTCTGGATTGAAGTGTATTTTTGTATGTGCAGGATTAACTACAATAGCAAGGTATAAAGCAAAATGAAGTCCCAGAGTCAAGAACGTGATTTCGTTGGGAGTTCGAGAGTTCGTCGGAAGTTCTGCCGGAACCAACCGAGAAGTCCAGGAGCTTGCCAAAGAAGCTTGTCAGAACTTGCCAAGAAGATCGTCGTGAAGTCCAAGAGCTTGCCGGGAGTTCGCCGAAATATTGCTGAGAGATCGTCGGAAGTTCGCCGGAAGCTCGCGCGGAAGAAATCGGACTTATGTTACTTAGATTATGTCTTAGGAATCATAATTAGCACATAATTGGAGTTGGGATTGGGAGGTAATCCTATCAACTTTATTATGGGCCAATTGGGCCCGAAGTTGGATTGGTTTGGGCCGGATTCAAGGCCCAACCAGGGTGTTGAAACCTTGGCCGGCGGTGGCACCGCTTGGGGAACAACACCCCAGGATTCCTGGGCGGTGGTACCGTCGGCAGCAATGCTGCCAGCGGTGGTATCACCCCTGTTCGACAGTGGTACCGCCCAGTACCAGATCCTGCGGCGGTAGTACCACCCAGGAACGGCGGTGGTACCGCCAGTACCCAGGAAACCTAGGATAAGACATTTTTAGGCTCAAGTTTGAATCAACTTGAAGCCTATAAATACCCCTCTCATCCCTGGTTAACATACACAAGCACAGAGAATTTAAAGAGGGAAAAACTCTGTTGTAATCTCTTGAGAATCCTCCTCTTCTAGTCTAAGTGTTAGAATAGTTTGAGAAAGGAGTGAGTGCTTGTAAGGGTTGTCTCCTAAACCCGGTTAAAGGAGAAGAGGGGTGTAAGAAGGAGGTTGATCTTCGCCTATTAAAGGAAGATCGATAGTGGATGCCAGTGGTCTCGACGGAAGAGGAATCGGCGAAGTGGATGTAGGTCACGACGACCGAACCACTCTAAAATCTGGTTTGCATTTTACTTTGAGCAATTTATCTTTACTGCAAATCACTTTACCTCCTTACTTGCTTTACATTCAATACGCTCTTACTTTGCTTTCAAAGTTAAGCATTTCCGAAATCGGTTTTATCGTACGAAGAGATTTTTCGGAACCGATTTGAAGACGTATTTATTGCTGCACTAATTCACTCTCCCCTCTTAGTGCCGACTCGTTCCTAACAGTTGGTATCAGAGCCTTCTATTTCTCATTTGGTTTAACACCCAAGAGAAATGGCCCATTTCGGCTTTCAAGAGGGACTTTCTCTTATTCGTCCTCCCTTTTTCAATGGGACGGACTACACTTATTGGAAAACTCGAATGAGAGTTATCTTGCTTTCAATTGATTTAAATTTATGGAATATGGTCGAAAACAAATTTCAAAGGTCTTCTCTTCCGATGAACGATTGGAATGATTTGGAGAAGAACACATTTTCACTAAATGCTAGAGCTATGAATGCTCTATTTTGTGCCTTAGTGTCACGGACTTAGCTGGTTTTGCCTAAGTCGTGCGGCACCCTTGCGTGTTCGTCCGCAAAGGTCAGCCTCCCCGAAGCCTCCCATGGTCCCTTAGGACCCATAAAAGAGAAAACGGGTTAGAGAAAATGCCTTACTTAGGATCCACAAGCAAACATTTTCAAAAACACTTCATAAACAATGCAAATTACAAACAGACTTTACAAGCTCTGAACAGTTGCACAACAAAGGATCAAAATTGTCCACTACAGACCGAAAATCTCTCATAAGTGTCCACATGACACAACCTTTATTTACAAGTCTAAAGCGGCCACCAACCCAACTAAAATAGGACTATTAAGCCTTCGGTCATCCCTCTACATGTTGTGCAAAGTATGAACATACCAAAAGACACGGAGATACATAAGCATTACATCAAACATCCTGTTTAGAAGTTTGTCCGTGACATTCTCCCCCACTTATTCCTTTGACGTCCTCGTCGAAGCCTTTGCCGACACTGCAACTCCTTGCCTTTGCTTAGTCTTCAATCTTCTGCTCCAACTGCAATACGCCTCCTGGCTCCCAGCTGCTCTCTGCTGCTGTTTTTGAGTAGTCGAACTTTTGATCCGCCATGCTGCTTCAACTCGCCAACGACTCTGACTCTAGTGTGGGGTTGGCTGAGTTGTGTTGATCCATGTTGGTTCCTGCGGATCCTCCAGATGAAAGAAAAGATCATCCTTACTATGCGTCAGTCTCTCAAATGCCTCATGCTGCTTGAACTGAGTGGATGCTTGTTGGAGCTTTAACGAGCATCGCCTCGCAAACTTATGAAGTTTTGGGTCCTTCCTCCACAAAATTTGCCCATTGACTCTTCTTTCATTTAGTTGTCACTTGCAAGTAGATTCGCATCACTTTCGCTTTCGATTGGCATTTCGTTGGGAAATGAAGCGGACAATCTACTCTTAGTAGCATTGATCACCGTTGGTAAGGATTTGACAACTATTGTCTTATATTATCTTCGAAGGGTCTTTGAACCTGTGCAGAGCTCCTCTGCTGGATATATAAGAGAATTGGGGTACTCGGTTTCGCCCATTCTCTTAAGAGTTGAGAAGGCAAAGGTTACTTGACTTCGCCCACCTCCTCGAGGTTGTACTTCATGCATCGTGCTGGTTACTGACCTTCGCCTGCTCTTTGCTCACACTTCTGAAGCACTTGAAGTGTTTGCACTCCTTGCTGTCACGACCTTAGCTGGAATTGCCTAAGGCGTGCGGCACCCTTGCGGCCAAAGACGCGAACTTAGCTTGCGTTGCCTAAGTCGCGAGTCACTCTTGCGGCAAAGACGCGAACTTAGCTTGCGTTGCCTAAGTCGCGCTTCGCCCTTGCGATCTTGCTCCACTAGGATCAGCCCACTTTGTAACCTCTCGCAGGTCCCGAAGGACCTGTAAAAGAGAAAGAGAGTTAGATCGAAAGAACGAGCAACGGACAAGTCCCGAAGTCTCGCGAAAAGGAAAGCTTTACAAGCAATTCGTCGAACACCTTGTGTTCACAAGAGAAAAGAGGGAGAGGGGGAAAAGCAAGGCTTTCAAGGATGAACGAACAGCTGCAAGCCCCCAAACAACCGCTCACCTGGTCCCGGGCGCAAAACCAAGTTCCCGTAAAGGTCACGTGCGAACTTGCAAAAGAGTGTTCAACGC